ATACAACACAGCACATATTTATGAAGTCTGTCATTAAGCAAATATAGTATAGGTAGAAAAAAAGACACAAATACAAGGAAAAGAAATAAGCTGCAAAGTCACAAAACACAGTCGAAAAGAAACTCAGTTGGAAATAAAAATGAATGGGTCCATGCTTTGATGCAGGGTGACTGCAGTAACAAACACAGGGCAAGAACACAACAGTGCCAAACATTAGCATTTGCTTGTAAACTTTCAGCTTCACGCTTCCTATTTTCAATTATGAATATACAAAATATATTCACAAATTAACATTCAGAGTATTTGTCTCAAACAATTGAGAATTTTATTTAAGAACAGATGTTTGAATTCAGTCCAAACTGATGCATGCAAGAAAAGCTTACACACAAAACAGTAGGATGGCTCTTCCTAATAAATCTTTCCATTGTTTTCTACACTATGGTATGATAAATACCTGGTAGAACGCAAGGCTATATCTTTTTTTTTTTTACAGCACACCGACAGGCTCTATTCATCAGCCATTTTAAATGCTGAACTAAATTTCTGATAATTTTTTTTTTTTAAAGGTCAGATACGTGAATTACAAACGATTTACACTATATTTAGAGGAACATTATGTTGTTACTGCAAGTAAAATTGTATTTTTTAATTTTTAAATATATTCTGAATTCGTATTGATGCCAGATCTCACCACATAATTTATAACTGTGCAAGCTTACAAACATTAAAATAATTGTAAAAACGCACATCTTGTACCTTTAGTACAAGATGCAACACTACTGTTACCCTATCACATACACACACACACACACACACACACACACACACACACACACAACTACATTTCCAGCAACTTAAATTCCAGATTCCTCTTTCCCCCCTCTCTCATCTAAATGCATTTTGTTATAATACTTCTTTTTACTCCTTCTTCCCTGCACCTTCCTCTATTCAACTAACGTGTAGTAATGGACACTAAACTATTTTGACCTCTGCTTATGTTACTTGAAATTAATAGCAAGTTGTCAAAGAGGAAACTTCAAGGGAATTTAACTACCCTTGCATTGAAGCTCTTCCTGCACTGCAAGAGTTTATACTGTTTTTTGTCAAAAGGAATATTAAAAAGAAAATCTACATTACCTTATCCTTCCCTCCCGCAGTCTTCTACCTACATGCAACTAGTCCCCTGAAACTGCTTCTCTTTGGCGCTCTGTCCATCGGTTGCACTCTGACATCATCACATACTGCTGGCCCTGCATTGTGAGGATGCTAAGGGCCTGCCTACAACCCAGAGCGTCAGAGAGAAGATGGCAAGCACCGGTTGCCAAGAAGCAAAGAATAAGGTAAGTAAAACTTCCTTTTAATATCCCCCAGACAAAAATGAGCAATTTGCCTACAAAGAAGCTTAAATGAATGCAAAGACTGCACTTGGGGACTGGTATAAGTGACAATGTTTCTTTTAATTTATACTTACAATGTATAAATTTGACCTAGTACATTCCAATTACACAGCCAATAACATGCACCATCACATACATCTGTACCATAATTACAAGCATTGTACACAAGAAGGAACCTTAAATGCCCCGTTCAAACAAGGGTGTCACGAAATGTGCGAAAATGTGGAACACATGTCACAGAATGTACGACTTTCCTGCTTTGGGAACGCATCTAGGGCCCCCTGAAATCAATGGGGACGGATGCCAAACAAATGCTCGCAACACGCGTTCCTGCGGTGCTCAGGTCTGAAAGGGGACTTGGGTATATTTGAAGCCAATACTAACAGGGAGAGAGAGGATATCTATCCAAATAATGGAAATGCTTTCCAAGACAGTTATCACAGCAACAAAAGTCCCCACTAGAAAACCTTCCCTCTATTCCTCTTACGGTGACAAAAAAATTATGGATTCTCTCCTATTTTCCAAAAACAGAGACCTTGTAGAATTAAAAACGTGGTAGTTTTTATTTATTTTTAGTCTACATAATATTTATGACATTTATCAAAACTTTATTTTCAGTAAAAAATACACTCAAACTGAAATAGTGGAAAACTGTGGTACTGAAAATTGTCCATAGACAACCCTTTACAGGTGTGAATTGTGATTCCTCATAATTTTTGTACATGTCTGTGCCCGATGTGCACATTTGCATTCATATGTAAATTCATATGTGTGTACATGAAGGCAAGGGCGATTTTGTTTACATATTTTTAAATTTAATTTGTAAACATTTTTATCCTTTAACTTAACTTTATAGCCATAACAAGGGACAAGCCCTTTATAGGTTAGTATTAGACCCTTAGTTTCACCTCTGCAACCTGCTGTGTCTTTGCAGGTACACTGTGCATTAACACAGCATCCTGTAGTCCCAATACCAGTGTGAACAAGGGAGACTGACAATGCATTGGTTACCTTAGGTCAACATTGTCACTCTATTGCAGGAAGTCCACAGAAGCAAAAGAAACTATCAGGCTCAACATATATGCATTTTTGCTTTATTAACAGCAATACAAATATTGCAATTGCTAAGGTAGCTATCCATAGAACTTCCATATTTAGGTTTATTTACACTTTTAGAATGAATTTGGTACAGATCAATTTAAACACAATCCAACAGAGCATCAACTTCAGTGTTGGCAAAAATGTGCATTAGGTTGCTCAATAAAATAAAATAGAAACACAGCTGAGAGTTTTAAAAGTTCACTCTTGCTTCCAAGAAACTTTTGTTTCTAATAGAGCACCTAAGGATTAGAGCCTTTGTCAGGTTTTCATTGCGGTGGATTCTCTCCATCGGAGACACAGACAAAAATATACTTTTAATAGGGGGGAAGGGTTAGTACTTTGGGGTTGTTTTTTTAATTATTGTTCATGCTTTTTGTGCCATGTATCATGCTGCTTTTTTCTTGCACATGCATAACACAGACAAAAAGCTAGAAAAATAGAATACAGAATTATTATAGACTCTGTCATTTTTTCCCCATTTCCATTGGGGATAATTCCCTTCAATTCCTATACCTTATACATAACAGAAGGTAAGAGAAAATCTCTATAAAGTACCTATAAATCTCCTCTTATACAGCTGCCACTGGAAAAGGTGCCCCAGAGTTCCATTTACCATTTGATGGGGTAACGAGTGTTAACAAGTGGATTTTTGGGCCAGCTCCCACTAACACAAAACATTGCTGCAGTCTAATGCATATGCAATTTTGTCTAACACAGGGTATTTCACACTATGTTTGATTGAAAAATAAAAATGGTGAGACTGCACAACTCTAAACATAGAAAGTCATCTAGAACTTTCGAGAAAAATGTAAAAATTACAGAATCTTGGCTTGTATTTACTACTACAGTTATCCAACCTTAGCCTGAATAGCCAAAAAGCTTACATTTCATGTTTGCACAGCTCAGAGACGTATAACAAAGCATTAAAAAAAAATACAAAAAAAAAACAACAGAAGTCACACAGATTGTTCATGTACGGCAATAGAACAGCATCATATTTAGCTGAATTCAAATTAGTTTTCCCTTTTGCCATTTTCTCCTACAGTGAAAATTCCCATTTAAGGATACATCACAGATAAGCATATAAGATCCATAGATTTGACGAGCAGTTTAACAAAACTTATTCGACATGTGTAATGATGTAAAAAAGAAGGTTTTAATTTGCCAGGAATAAATATAAAGCCAAAATGTATGCAGCTTAGTTTCAACACTAATTGCACAGCTAATGGATAAAAATGAAAACTATTTTTCAACCGAAAAAGGCCAAAATTAAAATATTATTTTTTCTAAATGCATCACACCACAGACCTGGAATTATGCATATATTTCCATATACTGATCATGTTTTCTTTCTAAGTGAAAACCTGCAATTTCTCATGGGAAATAACTAAATTAAAGACATGGATGTTTAGAAGCTTCTCATGCACTGAATGCAATTACCTGCTTCAGCAATTAATTCTCTAAGGTATAGCAATCATGACAACATTCTTGTCTCCCAACATGCTTTACAAATCTTTTTTTTTTATTTTACATTATTTTAACTATAAAATAAACCTGTTGTTAAGATAGCACAGATAACGCAGAGCATAATGTAATTATCAGCATTACAAATTGCTGTGTATATTGAGCATTATACATCATCTAATTAAAACTTGTTGAGGGCCGATGCTACAATTAATCCCCCACTGGTCACAGGGAGATGAGCAGCACTCACCCATTATCTAGTCAGAGGTTTTATATCTGAGCCCTACTCTCATGAAGTCAGGCTCTCCTTGAATCAAAATAAATGAGGAACTCCAGACAAACAATGACACT